GCCATCATTGGCCGCTGTGTTCTAGCTGTTCTTCCCTCCCTTTTCCTGCTCAAGCGCCTGCCCTTCTGCCACTCCCACCAGCTCTCTCACTCCTATTGCCTCCACCAGGACATGATTCGCCTGGTCTGTGCTGACATCAGGGTCAACAGCTGGTATGGATTTGCTCTAGTGTTGCTCATTGTTGTGTTGGACCCACTGCTAGTTGTGCTTTCCTATGCAGTTATCCTGAGAAGTATCTTCAGCACAGCTACATGGACAGAGCGGCTCCGGGCCCTCAATAACTGTCTCTCCCACTTCCTGGCTGTTCTGGTCCTCTATGTTCCCATGATTGGTGTATCTATGACTCATCGCTTTGCGAAACATGCTTCTCCACTGGTCCATGTGGTCCTGGCTAATATCTACCTGCTGGCACCCCCTGTAATGAACCCCATCATTTACAGTGTAAAGACCAAACAGATCCGCCAGAGAATCTTTCACCTCCTTTTTTGGAGGAAGGTTCAGTAAAGATTGAGATTTAGGTTTAGAGCAGTACATTTTTTAAAGTTACTTGGAGCCAAAAGCAGAGGTCTCATCAAATCTGTGCATAGAATAGATAGGAGAAGAAATGTTGTCTATTTCCATCAAGACTGTGACTCATGGCAACTGTGTGGTTGAGTGCTTATCCTATGGTGCCACCCCAGGACTTCCTTGATAAATTAGTTGGTTGCTGTTGGTACAGGCTGTTGAGTCAGTGCTGACTCCTAGCAAACCTATGTAGAGTTTCCAAGGAGCGACTGGTGAGTTTGAACTGCCGACCTTGCAGTTCCAACTGACCATATGGTCCAGTGCATTATCTAGCAACACCACACTAAGACACCAACAGAACAAAATCCACTTCTCGGAAACCCTATACAAGGCCACTATGAGTTGGAATCGACTCGATGGTATTTATTTAACAACAACAACTACTTTTCAAGGGAGTCTTGGTGTGACACTGTAGGACAAGCACTTGATCATAAGTCCAGTTTGAACTACAGGATCAGCAGTTCAATCTCACCAGCCGCTAATTGGAAACCCTACACAGGGTCGCTATGAGCCTGGACCAACTTGATGGCGCTTAACAACTTTACTAAGAATTGCTGTGACTCAGACTGAATCCATGGCATCTAACAACACCAGCATCTCTATTGTGTCTTTTTTATGGTGGTGTCTTTTTATTAAGTATAAAATGAAACATAAGATTTCATGCTATTAACACAAAATGCTAGTAAATTAATGAAAGTGATTATTAAAGCTAAAATATGTTGTTGCTAAATGCTATGAAGTCAGTTTAGAGTCATAGTGACCCTATATAGGGTTTCCAAGGAGCAAATGGTTAAGTCTGAACTGCTAGCCTTGTGGTTCAAAGTCTGGTGTTGATCCTACAGCACCACACCAAGATAATTGCTGAAGAGCAAATTAGCTCCCAACTAAATACAAGTGCTTATGTAAGTTCTATCAAATACTGAAACAGAACCTTGACAGATTAGAGGGTCAAATTAAATAAAGCAAGTGTTGAATATTTGCTGCTATATGGAAATATAAGCTGTTAAAACCAAAAAAAAAAAAAAAAACCCAAAGTTGAAGAATACTGTGGATTTGAGAAAGTGTTGGACTAATTTTTAAGGCAGAATTTGCTTAAAGCCAATGATGGAATCAGAGGTTCAGAGAGTTGGAAATTACTGCTGAGACAAGATAATAGATGCTGCTAGAAACTACAAGACAGACACCTCTGGAAGATAAGCACAAGACAGCTTAAATGTTACAAGTGTGATTTATAGAAACAACTCTGAATTATTTATATTGAACTTGTTTTCTAAGCTTGGTCAACATGTGGTGTTTTGTTGGTCACATTTAATTTGTTATCATTAATTGTTAATAAATGATCTGAGAAAGTTGTTTTACTTTGGGGGCGTGTGGTTTCTTCATATGTAAAATATGTATAATTATATTTCCATGACTTATTTTCATGAAATTAAAAGACGGGTAAGCTGTCTTTAATAACACAGATGAGCAACCTTAAATTTCCAACAGTTGTTTTGTAAAGAAACATGGAGACAAGAGGACACACACATGAGGAAAAGTCAAGAAAGTATTGCTAGTACGGTTCCAGTTCATATAGGTACAGATTTATTCTTTTTAACTATTTTGGAATGTATCAATGCAGTCAATGAGTTCTGCAGACAAGTTCTTTAAAAGTTTCAGCAATATACTTGTCTTAGCTTCATTAGAGTGCCTTCAGTAAAAGATCCAATCAGAACAATGGCCTCCCAAAAGAAGGAGGACTAGAACAAGAAACATAGGAAAGTGAGATAAGTGATGTTATATTGTGGGGATTTCAATCAGTGACTTAAAACAAGATGTGTATGAATTGTTAAACGGAAAACAGATTTGCTCTGTAAATCTTCACCCAATTCAAAATAATTTTTTAAAAGTGACTTCCAAGGAGATTTGCTGGGCCACTGAAATTCAAGATGAACAGGTCAGTTTAGAAGGGTATGATGACTGTTTAAAGTGACTTATAGTGGAGTTGTGTGCCCTGTGAGCATTTATCTGCACCCTGAAGAGACCTTTTTAATATTACCTGGACAGAGAAAGACTGCCTATAGGCATGATTGAGAACAGGCTGTCCTGGCTAGAAGAACAGTGCCCTGAGCATTTCCTGAACCTGAATTGTAATCTGTTGACTTCCCTAATAAACTCCAAATCTGCGAGTATTGTCTCTGAGCTCTTTGTTGCCATTGTACTGAATTATTGAGCCCTGCATGAGTACAGAGGGCTGTGGAAGGGATGGTGGATGTCATTTTTGTTGCAGTTGTATGTCAGAGGTGATGTTCATTGCAATAACTTCAGAGACATGGGACTTTGTAAGAAAAAAAACAAATTTTTGTGTCTTAAATGGTTACTTTGGTTCTTGTTACCTTGTTACCTGAAAGGATATCATTGGGAGAGCTAGATTTGCTGAGTCAAGTGCCTTCAGGCTGAAGTTTATGGTGGAGCCATGTGTCCTGTAGGTGTTTATCAGCAGCCCTGAAAAAGATTTGTCAGGGCACAGAGGTTTACTGGCCTGTGGGCAGAGCTGAGGAAGTGCCAAAGAGAGGCTGTTCTGACTAGAAGAACTGGGCCCTGAGTATATTCTTATCTTATATTGTAACCTATTAACTGCCTAACAAACCTCATATCTGTGACCATTGAGATGAGTTATCAAACCCTGCGTGAGTAGAAAATACTGTGGGAGGGATGGTTCGTGTCTTCTTTAGTGTAATTTTCAGGTCACATTTCAGGTCACAGGATGCTGTCCCATCCCTCTTTGATGAATTTATACACATCTTGGCCACCACAATCCTCACCCAACTAACCCTGTATCATCCTTTAAGTAGTATCCAAAGATTTCGTTTCTTAATGTGGCTTTGTTCAACTCTATGATCTCAGAAAAAATTCTTAGCCAGAACCATTTAACGTAACCTAATTTTCCTCCTTAATTTTTTTTTTTTCATCACCTAGCCCTCTTTTTCTGCAATACCCTTGTTGTTGTTAAGAGCTGTTTAGTCGATTCTGGTCCATAGCAACCCTATGTAGGGTTTTTGCGGAGCAGCTTGTAAGCTTGAACGACCAAACTTGCAGTTCAAACGGCTTTGCAGTCTGGCACATTAACCCACAGCACCACACCAGGACTCCACAATAGCCTTGGAAATGTACTAATATGAGAGACTTCATAAAATTTGCATTATCTTTTCATCCCATTTTCCACGAGCTTTTTGAAATTCCCTCAAAAATATAAATAATCTTTGGCAGCCTTGGTAATGGTTCCAATTTCTTTTTTATCCAATTCCCCTATTGGAAATGAGAGAAATAGTTCTTAACTGTGGCACTATAGGATAAGCATTGGACTACCAACTGTAAGGTCAGCAGTTCAAATCCACCAGTCACTCCTTAGTCAATGAGATGAAACAAAATGTGTAAGAATTATTGAATTCTTACTGATTTGCTCTGTAAATCTTCACCTAATGAACAATAGGAGGATTGGTATGGTGCTGTGGGTTAATGCACCAGACTGCAAAGCCATTTGAACTGCAAGGTCGGCGGTTCAAGCTCACCAGCTGCTCCTCGGAAACCCTATACAAGGCCACTATG